AGATGGATCTATAATTTCCTAACAAATAGAACACAAAGAGTAGTAGTCAACAGAGTAAAGTTTGAGGCAGCTACGGTGAAAAGCTCTGTTCCACAAGGCACAGTACTTGCTCCCATCTTGTTCCTCATCCTCATATCTGACACAGACATGGACATAAGCCATAGTGCCATGTCTTCCTTTGCAGATAACACCTGAATTTGCATGACAGTGTCCTCCATTGAAGACACAGCAGGACTCCAGGCAGACATCAACCAAATCTTCAAATGGGCTGCAGAAAACAATGTGAAGTTCAATGATGAGAAATTTCAATTACTCTGATATGGAAAACATGAGGAAATTAAAACTTCATTGGAGCATAAAACAAATTCCAACGACAAAATAAAGTGAAAATCTAATGTAAAAGACCTGGGAGTGATCATGTCGGAGGATCTCACCTTCAAGGACCATAACATTGTATCAATCGCATCTGCTAGAAAAATGACAGGAGAGATAATAAGAACCTCCAAAACCAGGGATGCCAAGCCTATGATGACACTCTTCAGGTTGCTTGTTCTATCTAGGCTGGAATATTGCTGCACACTAACAGCACCTTTCAAGGCAGATGAAATTGCTGACCTAGAAAATGTACAGAGAACCTTCACAGCATGCATAACCGAGATAAACCACCTCAATTACTGGGAATGCTTGAAGTTCCTAAACCTGTACTCCCTAGAACTCAGGAGGGAGAGATACATGATTATATACACCTGGAAAATCCTAGAGGGACTAGTACCAAACTTGCACATGAAAATCACTCCCTACGAAAGCAAAAGACTTGGCAGACAGTGCAACATCCCCCAATGAAAAACAGGGATGCCACTAGCACGATAAGAGACAACACAATTAATGTCAGGAGCCCAAGACTGTTCAACTGCCTCCCAGCAAATATAACGGGAATTACCAATAGACCCCCAGCTGTTTTCAAGCAGGCACTGGACAAGCACCTAAAGTCAGTACCTGACCAGCCGGGCTGTGGTTCATACATCAGTTTGCATGTGGCCATCAGTAACAGCCTGGTTGATCAGGCCCTGATCCACCATGAGACCTGGTCACAAACTGGGCTGCAAGGGCATTGACCTCTGGAACCCTTTTCAGGTATACTCCAGGTATATGCAGACAGAACACGAAGGCCATCAGTGCGGACAATGTAACGAACGCAATGAGCATCATGACGATCAGCTAAGGAACATTCGCCACAACATAGAGGCTATCAACTGGGGGTGAACAAAAGGCACTATTGGACAGGACAAGAATGGAATGCAAATGGAAGAGAGTCTGGCAATCTGCTCCCCATGAATGATGCACAAGAATTTTAAGTTCATTCAGCTGACCATGGCAAGCTGCCTTCAAAGAGGAAATGAGAGGTTCCCATGTCAACCAGTAATTGACGAGAAGGTCAAGAAACTTGACTATCACGTCTGGAATACATGAGCCATATAAATACAATGGAATATCTGGGACAAGAGGATGTCTAGCGAAGGTAATGAAATGGGTTTTCGTATTAGAAAATTTAAATCCATGAGAAGTGGTCCAATGGGAAACTCGGTCAATCGTATACTGAGCCGCTACCAGTCGACAGTCAGCACCTGCATAAGCTTTAGCGAAGTCATCTACATAATGCTACAACCAAATATGCGAAGGAAGAACAGAGCGTAGGTCATTTATAGCCAAGAGAAAAAGGTAGTGCTAAGGACACAACTTTATGGAACACCCTCGGTCTGAACATAGTCTGAGGAAAGTGAGGTGCCAACATAGACACGAAAATATATCAGATAAGAAAGCAGTAAGGAAAGTTGGCAGATTACCGCAGAGGCCTAAGGAGTGGGCTTGAGCTAACAAGTGGTGTCATATGCTTTCTCAAGATCAAATAAGGCTGTTAGCAAAGACATTTTGCACATACATATCTAAGTGGAGAAAGGGGTCCAAAGCAGAACAGCCCTTGCAAAAGCCATACTGGCGAGGAGAAAGACTATTGTGAGTCTCCAAATACCATATCCGAGGTCTATTCACCAATTGTTCCATCACCTTCCAGACTACACTGGTCAGAGCAATGGGACGATAGTGAGAGGCATCAAGTCCCAAGATGCCTGGTTTGTGAAACAGCAGTACAATGGCAGATTTCCATTGTTGAGGGAGAACCCCTTGCATCCAAATAAGATTGAAAAGATGCAAAAGGACTGTAAGGGCTGCAGAATGCAATGTTGTAGCATACTGATATGAATATCATCAGGCCAAACTGCCAATGACTGGCAAGCGAAAAGCGCAGACTCAAGCTCTAGGAGAGTGAAAGGTACATTATACGGCTCCATTCCATTACAGGAGAAATCCAAAAGCAATTGCTCCTTGGTAGACTTAGATGCAAGAAATGAGGGACAAAGGTGAAGCCCTTGGGAGACATAGATAAAATATTTCCCAATTTCCGTGGCAACTTTAAGAGGTTCTGCAACACTAACACCAGCAACCTGCAAAACGGGAGCTGGGTCCGGAGTGTACTTCCCACACAACTTCCGTACCTTCTTCCAAACCACACACATAGGGGAAGTCAAGGTAATAGTAGACACGTAGTCTTGCAAGGAAGTGCGTTTAGCATCGGGTATGACACAGCAAGCAACTGCCCTTGTCCACTTAAGGCATATCTTGAGGAAAACGATTTTGATGATTTTAACCATGCTCTAGACTTGGGTGAAAGGTTTTCAGCCAGCCAAAAAGCTGGAAATAGTTATCACCCAGATCATGTTAATAATAATTTTTCTCTACCAACTAGGAGGAGTAAGAAATTTCACATGTTTAAGCTAAATTTTTTCCAGCCTCATAATCCAAAGAGTTTTCAGCCAACTAACCACCAGAATCATGGTTCCCAGGGATTAAAGTCTACTTCTCAGTTACCTGCTCAAGGAAGTAGTAAGTCAGATTTAGTTTCAGGAAATCAAGGAACAGGTAGGAAAAGCAGTATTGCAGAGAGATGCTTAAGGACCAGGCTGCTGCACAGGACTCTCAAGTAAGCACCCCAGTTACACATGCAGTAGCTTATATTGCAGTTTTACCCCAGAGTACACCAGGAAGTTCAGCTGTTTTAGACCCTCGAATGAAGGTTTTTTCAAGTAAGTACACAGTGGCTTTACATCAAAATAAAGGTAGGGTAGAAGGTGTTACGTCTTTAAGGGATGGATGTAGCACATTCTCTCTTTTGCACAAGGAAGTCTTACCAGTGTCAGAAGATACTTTCACTGGAAAAGATATATTTTTAAAAGGGATTTCAGGATCCCCTGATAGAACTCCTGTACATAGATTGTGGGTGGAGTCTGTTTACCAGTCTGGGTACCTGCCTGTAAGTATTACAGATGATTTAACTTTTCCAGGTGTTGACCTACTACTAAGCAACAATGTTATGGGTCTTCTCAAAAGTGAGGAATGTTTAGTTTGGAGGGACCCTGACTTAAAAGGTGTTAAGGTGAAACCTAAGGCTACTGTGACTGAAATTTTTTCAATGTGTACTATGACAAGACAGGTGAGCAAGGGAAGAACTTCTGTACCTCGCCTTGACCTTTCTACTGACTTTGGTGACGTGGGTCTGGAGAGCCTGTTCATTGAATCTGACCTGCAGGAGACTCTGGGCAGTGATGAACCAGCCCAGGTCAAACCTGGTTTAGGGAGGAAGTCTCAGTGCTGGCATGGGAGTGAATACCCTGACTCTGAAGCAGCTGGTTGAGGTCCAGGATGTGGTGACTCCTTGAAGGCTATTCAGTTGCCAGTTCTTACAGAGGAAGAGGCTCCAAAATTTAACAAATGTTTACTTTACAAAGTATGTGACCATGCAGTCATGTCAAAGCCATTTGAGGAGATATGGTACTATGTTCCACAGTCAGCCCTCCTGGCCCTATATCACTCACTTATTTACCCCTATCTCACCTATGGAATTTGTGCATGGGGCTCAGCAACAATAAACCATCTCAGACCATTAATTACCCAACAAAAGGCTGCAGTCAGAATGATAACAAATTCCCACTACAGGCAGCACACTCCACCAATATTCAAAACTCTAAACCTACTTACCATACAAAACATCCATAATTACTGCACCTACTACATACATAGAACACTTAACTCTGATATTAACCCTCCCCTCAAACGTCTCTTTACCAACCTCAACAGAACACATGACCATAACACAAGGCACAGATCACTCTTTGATGTTCCTCATGTCCATCTCATGCTATGCAAAAACTCAATGCACATAAAAGGCCCTAAAATCTGGAATTCATTACCAATGAATATAAAAGAAACATTATCTGTTTATAAATTCAAGTCTCTTCTCAAAAACCACTTACTCACCCACAACCAAATAAATACTGAATAATTGTATCTTATAAATTGTATATCTCAAATGTTTCTCATAATTGTATCACAGAAATATTTAACGTGAGACCCAATCAAACTTTGTTATTTTTTAATTACATTACCTAACAGAATACTCCATTCTACTGAATGTACAGCAATGCATGCAACCATATGACCTGTCTTTGTAATACTCACTAGAGCTTAATTGTTATCTGTTTACAATAATGTTTAGGAATGCTTAGTTAATCTTAAGTTAATTTTAAGCCTGCCCATAATGCTCTGCATACAAGGGGCTTTGGCATGCTGCACTTAATTGTATTCTTTTGTACTTTTCTGTATCATGTTCAAATTAAAAATAAATAAATAAATAAATAAGGTTCTGAATTCTTTAAAGATTCCCAGTGGGGAATATTTCAGTACTGAGAAGGGAGAGCTAGATAATAAGTGTTTACCAATCACTTATCTTTTTACCAGGTTACCAGAGTTCCTGCCAGTTAGGCTTTCCACAAGCCAACCAGAAGTCAAATTTTATCAAATGTCATGTAGTTTTGAGAGACTTGCTTAAGGTTAAATTTACCAATGTCTATCATTCTGAGAGTCAAAGAAAAGTAGAGTGATTTTACCAGTCTCTCAGGATGATGCACGTTTGTTTTCCCCAGTACCTGAAGGGCTGGGATGAGAGTATTGCCCTCCTTTTCATTGCCATGCAGGGAAGCACACTGGAATCATTAAGTCATGGGCTAGGTGAGGATGGTGATGCTTCTTCCCTCAGTGTTTCTTCTCAGTTTCAGAGATTGTTTGGCTAAGATGAGGTTGGTGGCACTAGTGAACCAGCCTGCGAGTCTGCTCAGGATGACATGGGACCATGAGGTGGTGCTACATGCTCTGGAGGCTAGAGAGGAGGTGTTGGTACTGGAGCCGGCTTCTCAGAACGTTGTGATTAGTTGTGTATAGCAACTGCTGGTGGATGAGGTCTCTGAGGAAAATAACACCCACACACCTGATCAGAAAAATGCGTATGGTTATCTTCATAAGAAATCTGCACTGACTAATATGAAAAATAAAGTGCAAGACTTTGAAAAGGTTACTTTTACTGTTGAAGTGGATAAACTTGCTCGGTTGGCTCAGTCACCATGGAACTTTATAAATGAGTTTTTTGATATTAGAAGAGGAAGCACAAATCCCCTTGAGGTAAATGTACCTGAGCACATTCAGCATGTTTTGAGCTGAAAAAACATGTTGTGGGAACAGATGTGTATGGTGGAAGATGTGAATTTTTACATTATCACTGTACTCGGCGAGAGTCACTGGACATTGCCCAGGGGTCTCAACACTAGATGACACTTTCAGCATGTTTACTGACTACTGCAAAGTAAATTTGATAACTAATGCTGACGAGTTTACTCTTAAGAACAGTTACAAAAAAATTAAATACATCGGGGAATTACAGACTAGCTTGCTAGGAGAGTTGCCTAGTATTGTAAGATGACCACTAACATGAAGATCTGTGTAGTTTGCAGAAAGGGTAAGGGACGAAGACAGGCCTGGATTGCTTGTCATCTGTGTGGTCAGTGGTCCCATAGTATATGCAGGGATTTTAAACTAGTGACCACACTTGACATAAACTCAGAGAGGTGTTTTTAGGTCTGCCCAAACGAGATACACCTGTATGAGGAAATGACAAGAACACCAATAAAACATCCTTCTTGAAAGACTTGTCTGCATGGTATGACAGCTGGGAAAAAAAGGCGGGTGGTAGGGACGGGGCTGTCTCAGACAGTGCTCCTGAGGGGGCTAGCACTGTCTTGGAGGACAGTGGTGGGGGTGCTAGTGTTGTCCTGGAGGACAGTGCTCCAGAGGGTCCAAGTGATGTCTTAGAATATAGTGCTCGTGAGGGTACTAGTGTTGTCCTGGAGGACACTGAAGACAACCTTATTCAGTCCACAGAGGTTCAAAATAGAGATACTGCTGGAGATGGATCAAAATGGGATGATGCCTCAGGGAATAGTGTCGACACACTACCTGCAAAACCTGGTGGAAGCACTGATGTCTATACAGGGGTAAAAGATATTGAGGAAACAAGAAAAATAAATGCACCAGCAGTGAATGCAGCTACAATAAATCCTAGCAAACAGAAGTACAATCTATGTAAATACTATGCCTTGGGTATCTGCAGGCACGGTATATCTGGTAAAACAGGTGGGACATGCACCTTTGACCATCCCAAAAAATACCACACCCACATGACAACAGGAGAGTGCAACTTTCCTTCTTACAAATTATTTCACCCAGAAATGTGTCACTCATCAATCCATGAAAGAAAATGTTACAATGCATACTGCCAGGCACATCATCTAAAGGGGACTAGAAGACACAGACCAGGCAGACTATGGGAAACTAAAGAGAGGAGCCACAACCTCTCCAGGGACAGAGGTTTTTTAGGACCAGAAGGAAAAAAAAGACTGGCAAGAAATGACAATAATCCTACACCACCTGAAAACACTTCTGGAACAGAGGCACGGACATTGGCCTCTACCCTAGAACAACAGATATTAGAGCCAGCAAATAAAACCCCCCCTAAATTTCACCAATACGACATTTGTCTTTGCAAACATACAGGGTCTAAAGCCGTCAAAAAACAACAAAATTCCTTACATCAAGGGACTACTCATGGAGTCAAATGCAATGTTTGCAGTATTCACAGAGACCCACATAAAGGATCATTATTTCAACAAAATATGGATCCCAGGTTATAACCTATTCCGATGCGACAGACTAAACAGGCAACAAGGGGCAGGGGGTGGCCTGTATGTCACAGAGTTGCTCATTTGCACAGAACTACTAAACACCTCAAATGATGTAGTTGAAGTTTTGATGGTAAAGATCGAAAACCAAAACCTTGTCATTGTGGTAGTATACAAGCCTCCAGATGCAACTTCGCCGCAATTCCAGGAGCAGCTTGAGAAAACTGATCACAGTGTGGAAAATCTCCCAACTCCCAAAACATCTTACTACTAGGAGATTTCAACCTGAGATACCTAAAATGGAGGAGTATAGCAAACAATGTTTTAGCAGAGATCACCCCGGGAGGCAGCTCAGACGAAAATTCACACACACACGAACTATTAAACCTCTGCAACAATTTCATAAGAACATATTTATTTATTTATAAATTTTAGCATACATACAGAGGTACAAAAAAATACAGGTAAGAGCAGCATGCCAAAGCCACTTATATGCATAGCATTACGGGCTGGCTTAAAATTAACTTAAGATTAACTAAGCAATGATGAAATCAGTGATAAGACATTATTGTAAACAGATAACTATAAAATACAAATGAGTATTACAAAGACAGGTCATATGGTTGCATGCATTGCTGTTTATTCAGTAGAATGGAGTATTCTGTTAGGTAGTGTATTTAAAAAAAAAATAACAAAGTTAGGTTTAACATTTGTGTGATATAATTGTGAGTAACATTTAGGATATACAATTTATATGGTTCAGTTATTCAGTATTTATTTGGTTTTGAGTGAGTAAGTGAACTTTGAGAAGAGACTTGAATTTATAAACAGGTAGTGTTTCTTTTATATTTACAGGTAATGAGTTCCAGATTTTAGGGCCTTTTATGTGCATTGAGTTTTTGCATAGTGTGAGATGGACACGAGGAACATCAAAGAGAGATCTGTGCCTTGTGTTATGGTCATGTGTTCTGTTGAGGTTGGCAAGGAGATGTTTGAGGGGAGGGTTAATATCAGAGTTAAGTGTTCTATGTATGTAATAGGTGCAGTAATAAGTATGGATGTTTTGTATGGAGAGTAGGTTGAGTGTTTTGAATATTGGTGGAGTGTGCTGCCTGTAGTGAGAATTTGTTATCATTCTAACTGCAGCCTTTTGTTGGGTAATTAGTGGTCTGAGATGGTTAATTGTTGTTGAACCCCATGCAAAAATTTTCCATAGGTGAGATAGGGGTAAATAAGAGAGTGATAAAGGGCCAGGAGGGCTGACTGTGGAACATAGTACCGTATCTTCGATAGTATGCCTACCGTCTTGGAAATTTTCTTAGAAATTTGTTGTATATGTGTATGAAATTTGAGTCTATTATCGAGGTGGATTCCTAAGAATTTTCCCTCTGTTAGCTTTGTGATAGGTGATCCGTTTATCGTTATGTTAAGAGGTACATCTGTAGCTCTGCTACCAAACTGAATGAAGTAGGTTTTGTCAATGTTTAGTGTAAGTTTGTTAGTCCTCATCCAGGTAAGAACATAAGAAAGAAGGAACACTGCAACAGGCCTACTGACCCATGCGGAGCAGGTCCATGTCCCCCCCCACCGGATTAGCCCAATGACCCACCCAGTCTTATCATCTCCACTCAAGGATGGAGCACTGCACCAGACCCAGCAGAACAAGCAAGTCAGGTCCAACTCACACCCACCCACACCCACTCATGTATTTATCTAACCTGTTTTTAAAACTACACAACGTTTTAGCCTGAATAACTGTACTCGGGAGTTTGTTCCACTCATCCACAACTCTGTTACCAAACCAGTGCTTTCCTATATCCTTTTTGAATCTTAATTTTTCCAACTTGAAACCATTGCTGCGAGTCCTGTCTTGGCTGGAAATTTTCAGCATGCTATTTACATCCCCTTTATTTATTCCTGTTTTCCATTTATACACCTCGATCATACCCCCCTAATTCTACGCCTTTCGAGAGAGTGCAGATTCAGGGCCCTCAGTCTACCCTCATGGGGAAGATTTCTGAAACATGGGATCATCTTTGTCATCCTCCTCTGTACGTTTTCCAGAGCATTTATATCCATTCTGTAATACGGTGACCAGAACTGAACAGCATAGTCTAAATGAGGCCTAACCAAGGATATATAAAGTTGAAGAACAACCTGAGGACTTCTATTATTTATACTTCTAGATATGAAGCCAAGAATTCTGTTAGCTTTATTGCGAACACTAATGCACTGTTGTCTTGGTTTTAAATTACTGCTAACCAGAACTCCTAAATCCTTTTCACAATCAGTAGTATTAAGATCTACATCATTTAGTTTATATGTGACATGGTTATTTACCTGTCCAACATTTAGAACTTTGTATTTGTCAATATTAACCCTTTCAGGGTCCGTCCCGTAGATCTACGGCTTTTCGGTGAGTGTCCAAACCATAGATCTACACCAAAATTCTAGCGCCGTCAAATTTAGCGCGAAAGCGCTCATAGGCCTACATGTGAGAGAATGGGTCTGCGCCGTGGGTGTGCGCTGTAAACAAAAAATCTAGGCACCTGCATAGCATTGTGGGAACGCCGGCTCAGTCACCCTTGCTCACCATGCCTCGTCGCAAGTCAGCTCTCACTCCCGGAAAATTGGGACTCTCCTCTTCCTGTCGGGATAGTTCTGACACTGATGGAAGTGGAAATGAAGACGAATTCTACGGCTTTGATAAGTTAGTGACCGAAAATAATGACCGGATATCGATAATAGTGCAGAAAAACCCCGACGATCCTGACCTTCTACCTTGGTGTGGGCACTCATGATCCGGTCCAGGTGTTCCCTAAACTAAGAGGAAAACAAATATTTTCCGTGGCCTGGCTCTGACTTCAGTAATGACGATGATTCTGAGTGGATTGTGATTTTATTGCGCTCGACGTTTCATTCGAGTAGTGATAGTGAGGAAACATATTCACCAGTGAAAGCGTCGGTATGTTCGCCCCCCCGAAATGCACTCGGGAGTGTACCCTATGCTGTGCCAGGGGACGGAGTACATCCCGGGTACTTTCCCGTGGCCCTACACCCGTTTAGGTATGATAGTGAGGATGATGTGGCTACACTTGGCATGGATGGGCCACAGGCATCAGTGGATGGTGTTAGTGGTGTGGTGGTGGTAGTGGCACCCCCATGCGTTGACTCCACGTTGTCACGCGGGGACCCACGCTGCTGACTCGTCAGTTCAAGGACAAAGCGGAGCGTCACCCACCAGCCCGCCAAACTA